CATCAAGGGCCCAAGGAATCCACAAACAGATGGAAATCTGGCTCCAGAGGTCTTCCCACTGCCTGCTATCTATCAGAGACCCATTCATTATTACCAACAATATTTATTTGACCATCTTGTCATTGACTTCGGCTTCTGCCCATTGACTTGTTGTGGGGCACATATGTATGTGCATATGTATGTGAGGCAGGAATGCCACAATCCACAACCCAAACAGCAGAGCACAGCACAGCACAGCACAGAGCGATCGAAGCCCAGTGGGGCATCTCGAAATTAGCACCTAAAATGTCCTTAAGTGAATTGAATGAAACTGATTTATGGTCGCACTTAATGTAAATGTGTAGCCATGTGCCCCAGAGCATTCGAGGCCGCAATCGGCATCAGAGTGGGTGTGAGTGTGGGAATAGCAATCGAAGGCCCCCCCCATGGCACTATCTATCCATGGGACTGTCTGTAGCCACAGCTATCTATCTATATATCTATCTGTCTGTCTGCATGTCTATCTATCTAGTTAGTTGTTTGCTTATGCAGCGCCCACATATGCAGAGGAGAGAGCCCCGCGGTCCTGGGGCTATGCCTGCCCCGGGCATTTGCTTAAGCAGGCGTGTGCAAATTTACCATTAGCCATGCCATATATTCTCCATTCAGCTATGATATAACTTTCTGGCCAGACTCAGCCTCCTTGGCGGTGTGTGTGTGTGTGTGTGTGTGTGGGTGTATGTTGTGATAATTGGTGTAAATGCCACAAAGCAGAATCAGAGCCAAGCCATGCCCACCACTCGGACGCTCAATATGCAGCTACATAACTTATGGCACTGCCAGCCATTAATTTGAGTGTACAGCAGCAGTCCAGAGGACAGCACAGCACAGAGGGGCATGGGTATGGTAGGGTAGGGTGGGCGGCAAGTGTTCGTTGCATAGCCACAGGCGCACGTGCGTGACCTGCTCTCTCACTTGTCCATTTGCATTCCCCTCCTGCTCCTTCTCCTGTTACTGTTAAGCCACCCCCCACCTCGTCTCATCACACATATATCGTATTTTATTTTAATTTCTGTAACAAAAGGGCAACAGGAAGGCGAAAGTTTGCTGCCCGCCTGCCTGCCTGCCTGCCATCTTCGTCATCATCACGATCGCTTCATTTGCCTCATTCAATCTGGCACACGTTCCTTTTTTTTTTTTGGCCATATTGCGAGAGAGAGATGCCAAATCACAATGGGCCTGCCGGCCAGTCCAAAACAATATGCAAACAATTTCCACTGTTACATGACCAAAATACACAAAATATTCTTCTTGTCCGGCGACGCACTTATGGTCACGTTGCGAATATAAGTATGTATATGTATATAAATATATATATATACATAAATATATATACATACATATATGTGTGTACATGTATGTGAAAATGGCCGATGACCAGACCGAACCTAAAGCCCAGACAAGAAGAAGCACAAGAAAGCTCCCAAAAAAAAAGTGGAAAAGGAAATGTTTTGGCAAAGAAAACAAAAAAAAACCCAAGCAAAAAGGGTCTCGCCATGGCACTTTTCCAATATGTCAATAGATACACGCACAAACACAGTGAGAACTCAATAGAGTGGAGCAGCAGCAACACAAGCAGAAATCCTAAAGCCTCGCAAACTGATGGGAATTAATGCTGTAGATATATGTATGTACCCATGTAACTACAATTGTATTTATGCTCGTACATATGATGTAGATGCAGACAGCAGTGTCCAACAATTTGGCATTTTAATTAGTCTTTTATTGGCAAAAGTTTGCCACTTCCTTCCTGTTCTAAAGTAACATCTAACCCTTTTTTTATTGGTCATGTCTCTGGAGTTGATCGAGGGTTTATTTTCGTTCCTTTTTCGCCGGCCAAATGTAAGCCAAACCAAACCCAACCAAGCCAAGAAGTTGTCCGTCACGCAGATGATGATGGTGGGGTGTCACCCATAAGTGGCATGTGGCATGTGTGTACGTTGGAGTGTGTGCTGTCTGGTACTGGGCCAGAAACGTGCGTCTGCGATACCGTGGGGTTGATTGATGATAGCCATGGGTGATGGCCAAACAATGCCAAATCTATAAGTTGACAACACAATTATTTTTTAGTTGGTGGCGTTTCCTTTCGGAAAAGGACACAATCATTCTAAGCAAATTGAGACATTATCTATAAGGTGTCTGGCAGTGTCCGCAGTAGAAAAAACAGTAGAAATGGAGGAGCAAGTTGGAACATTGTATTTAATTTATTTAATACATATAATTTAATTTTGTCTTACAGAAGCATAAATGTATTTAGGTAGAAGCTTAATATTTCTAGTAACTGCTTGCAGATTTCTTACTAAAAAAGTTTTAAAATAAAATAAAAAATGAAACAAATAAATGTATATATTTTTAATACTTGATATTTGTTTTAAATGTTAATTTCAAACATAATTCCTAGTTTTTTTTCTTATTCATTTCAGGTTGGAAGCGAACAGGTGTTTCAATTTTACAATTTGAAATAAATATGCGCGCCCAATGGACTTTATTGCCACGTGTGGCAACTCCATTTTACTTACCCTCGGATGTGTGTGTGTGCGAACCGGTTGGATAAAACACACCAACGTGGGATAAACCCTGCAGTTCTGGCTGTCACGGCACGAAAGTGTCATAGGAAAATTGTTGGGCTCGACGTCGACAGGCAGCGACGTCGATGTCAGCATGAAATCTGACCAGCTTCAACTGCTGCAGATCGAAGCTGACTCGTAGGAAGCAGATATCCATAGATTTCACTCTCCCATATTTTTAGTTTTCTCTACCTGCATGACCCTAACTCTCACCCGCGCATTCGTCTCCTCAAAGGGATGAGGGAAAACCGATATTTGGTGCAACTTTTGTTGCGAGCGGCTGTGTTTTTTTTGAGTTGAGCGCTTTTTACATGTTATTCCTTTAAAAGTGGTTTTTCAGTGTTTTTAGTCGGTAGTGGATTCAGTGATTACAGTGCGCGTTGTTAGTTAAATTAAATTTGTACATGGGTTGGAACAAATATGTTTAGTCTAGATCATTCAAGCGGTGTGGCCCGAACCAGGCGCGCTGGAGGTTTGTTTTGCTGGACCCATGTAACTGAATACACTTTAATTAAAAATATATATGTACAAATTGACTTATTTATTTACAGATCAAAACATTTCTGAAGCAAAACAAAATATTAGCCAGGAGTAATTGTTTAAAAGCCCAAAGGTAAAATCAAATTTCATATGGATGCTTATACAAACTGAACATAACCAGAAGTTAGTTAGAAAATATACATTCCGTGGCTAAATTTTTATTTTTTATATCATTTAGGAGCATTGGTGCTTATTAACCTGACGGTCAGTTAAGGAAGGCCCTACAGATAATTAAATAATAAATCATGAAAAACAAAATGGTAAAATAAATATATTTACTTTTATTTGAATGAGGTTTAAAGAAATTTTTGGGGGCTTCACTTATGATTATCCGTGCCGTTAATTTAATGGGTCCACAGGTGATTTCATATAGGACATTTCAAAAGAGACACGAGTGATTCATATGGGTTTCGAATGCACGAGTGTTTCAATAGGACATTTGGGAGTTTCCCCAGTGAAATCACCGTGGCATACCGGTGCACTCGTGGGCACCAGTGAAACACTTGGGGCCGGGATCACCGGCTATACGTAAAGCCACCGGGACACTAGAAAATTCAGTGACTCATATGAAGTTTCACGAGTGACAAAGCGGACATGCCATACAATCACTGGAGTTCACCAGTGAGCACCAGTGGGGGCAGCGGGACACCGAAGACACGAGTGAAAGGACTTTTGGAACTGCAGGGAACGTATACGTATCGTATACGTATCGTATGTTCTAAATCGACTGTATACAAACAACACACGGTTGTATAAGACTCGTGAGGCAATTTGATCGTAAGTACATGAAATTATACTCCCCATAAATATACTGCTAAAATGTATAAAGTGAAATGTTGCAAGGATGAAGAAGAATGTTGCACATTTCGCAACTGCAAAGCATATTGCGAATTGTGTAAATATGGTTTGGAAACTGGATTTTATTCAGAAATAATTGCAGACATTCAGGCTGAGATAAGAATGTCGTATACAAATTTGTATCGTATATAATTTTTTTCGAGTGCTGCGCAGAGCTTTCCCTATTTTGCCAGGCGTCTGTATATCCTAAATATACATATATCATATATCGAAATGAATAAAAAGCTGATTTTACTTATTGGCACAGCCAAAACTTGTGGGATATGTACATATATCTCAGGATCAGAATCTTGGGCATCCAGACTGTCCATCCACATTGGTAGGACTCTCCCGATCACAAAGAGAAATCTAATTTATCCTATATAGTTATTATCTTTTTAAAAATGCAGCCTCAATATTTCTCGGCCCGTTTGCAATGGAAACAACAATAATTTCTGCATCCGTAACATCACTCAGGTTTAGGGAACTGACCGCAAGCGTACAGGGTATTAGCTTAGTTTACACATATATCTTTTCTTTTTTTTTGAATTTGGAGTCCCTTTTTTTACTATAAAAGCAGAATGCAATTTACAAAGATAATACGTATACGTATTTAATGTGCTCCTAATCCTAATTAATTTTTAAATCTATAAATCTATCCTTGATTTTTACATGGAAATATTTTTATTGGATTGCTACAGTCATAGACTGTGGGGGAGTTTTCGACCCTTAGAGGCTTAACATTTGTCGATTTATTTCCCCTTTTTTTGGGCTTTGGGTACCCTATGCACCTTCGATGAGTTTTAAATTTTTAATGGTATCAGGTCACGCCCCTCCAATGTCCATAATTATTTGTGCACAATGACCATAACAATACACATAGCAAATTGTTTCGGGCTAGCCGTATAATTTGGTGGCTAATTGAAACTAATCGAAACCCGAAAGACTGCGAATCGAATGCCATAAAAGTGAACGCATCGCATTGAGGCTCAATCAGTTTGGGAATTATCCTTAGAAATGCAGGACCTACTGGATCAGGAACTGGATCGCATAGACCAGCTGCCCAAGCAGGGTCTTTACTGGGTGGAGTTCAGCGCCTTTGCCCTTGGTATCAATATAGCGCCGCGGAAGCGTAGCTCCAAGCACTGTCGACTGTAAGTGCCATAAAATTGTCGTGCTCCCCCATTTCGTGATAATTACCCCATACATATGTTTATCCATGATCTAGAACACGAATTGCTGTCTTGCTGGTCAATTTGAGCATCATCTACAGCCTGGTGGCATTTATTATGGCCAACTATCAGGTGTCCTTTGAGACCTATGTTGAGGTTTGCTTGCTGGTCAATCACTTGGATTGGATATGATAAATTCTGATTTTCTTCAAGGCTGTGCTGCTCACCTTTCAACTCAGCGTTGGGGTGGTCAAGATGTTTCACTTTCAAAACAGCCTGGAAGCGTCGGTACAGCTGGTGCATTCAACGGAGACAGGACAGGTGCTCAGATCCTTGGGTCTCTTCGATTTGGGTATAAATTTCATGCACAGAAATCTGCCAACAGCAAAGGCAAATCTTACTTATGAATATGTCCATAGATTTGCCAAGAAAACAGGAACTGCTCCGATCACTGAGCACAATATTGCTCGACAATTGGCTGATCATCGATCGCCAGGTCATGTTCTTCTTCAAGATTGTCACAATGCCGGTGCTCTACTACACAATGCGTCCGTACTTTTCAGTACATTTTTGATTGTTACATTATACGGGATACGTGTGAAATGACGCTGAGTAAGTAAGCCAAAGGTCCATGGGTTAGGGCTACCATTTCATTCACTTTTTTGTATAGCTTATCCGGCCATTGTGCCTTTTGTGCAGTTGGGAAACTATGAATTTCCTTCGTACGTGATTCGTTTCTTTCTGCTGCAAAGTGGTCCACTTTGGTGCTTTTTTGGTATGTAACTAAAATGCGCTGCTAATACCAAACTGACAGTAATTGGCTCCCCCACTGTACCCCTGTCAGCTGTCTTTGGCTTCAATAGCCTGTTTGTGGTGCTCACCAGATATGAGTCGACTCTGATTAAGATTCTGCGCTATTTGGTGCAGAATTCCACGTCCGATAAGTTGGTGCCCAAGCACCTGCGAGTGCGGTATCTGCAGTGTTGCGTTCGACTCTTTGCTCGCATTGCCAAGTGAGTGGGGGGATTTTTTACGCTAACTTTCGTTATCCTTCCATGTTCATATTTCTTTGCAGTCATCATAACCAGATAGAGAATCTCTTCAAATACATTATTATGGTGCAGTGTTCGGTCAGCAGCGTACTCATATGCATGCTGCTCTACAAGATAAGCACAGTGTTGGTGGGTTACTCGATATATGAATGATATATAAAGTACATCAAATAATGCTTGTCTTAGGAGGTGGGCTTGGTGTGGATGGGCATGATTATGGTGTACTTTGTGACGATAACTCTGGAGATCAGCCTGTACAATGTGAGTGCACAGAAAGTGGAGACACAGAGCGAGCTGCTCTTCGATGACTGGTACAACTGTGACTGGTACAATGAATCGAGGGACTTCAAGTTTCTCATTCAAATGATGCTTCTGTTCACGCGACGTACATTTGTCTTGAGCGTTGGCGGCTTTACCAATCTCTCGCACAAGTTTCTAGTGCAGGTAAATGTGCAGGCATTAAAATATACATATATAAAAGAATTTATTAAGGAATTTTCCTGCAGGTCTTTCGCTTGAGTGGAAATTTCTTCTTGCTGTTGCGGAATATGAACAGCAAATAAGCGCAGTTTTGTTTTTGGTTTATACAAAATTACAACGTTGGAAAAGTTATATATTTTGGGTTGGGAAGGCGGGGGGGGGAAATCTTTAGGCAACTTATACACAAAGATACATGGTAATTGGTAATTGCAATTGGCACATTAAACATTAAACGTAAATGACAAATATGTTAATATATATATATATATATATACGATAGTATATGTATGGTAAATGTATACAGAATAGATTTCAGGGCAGAGATACAGATATATGTATATAGAAAAATGCGATTGATTTAACTGATTGGAGCTACAAGAATTTCTTTTTTCTTTTTTCGTATTCGTATTCGTATTTGTTTCTGTGCTTTTTTCTTTTATTTATTTTTTTTTGTTTTAATATATAATACAGTCCATTGGCTGGCTTAAACTGGCAGTTGGCAGTTGACAGTTGTTTCTCGACAGTGTGTGGCATCATCATTCGATTGCATTACATATAATATATGGCATGATGCGTTAAAGCTTAACGTTTTCGGGTTAGTTGATCTCTCTTTTTTTTTTTGTGGTGGGGCGGGGAACCTAAACAAAATATTTCGGCTAAGGCACTAAAATTACATAATTTCATTCAACGGCGGCGCTACGTTCTAAGTCATAAATCTGATTTTGCTCGACTCCTCCTCACGTGCTTAGGCTTAAACTGAAGTAGTTTTTTATTGGGTGAACGCTCCACGTCTAGGGCTCCAGACGATTGCGACTAAAGCACTGGTTGGGCAGTGCCTTGGATATTTGACCAATATTATCGACCTCCTTCATCAGCTCCTTCAGCTCGGAGCCGTACTTGTCGATCAGATTCTTCTGTATAGTGCGCTGCTCCCTGTACTTCTCAATGCGTCCCGTGAGGTTCACGCGATTGATCTCACCCTCGACAATAGTCAAACGATTCTCTGTTGATGTGCATAAAATATCAAAATTATTTATGAGAGTTCGAGGCAGAAGAAGAGGCGGCTCAACCTACCCAATTTATCCAAATCCGCTGTATTGATGTCCTTGAGGTTCTCCAACTCATCCTTGATGGCCGTCAGCTCGGCATTGGCCTTCTCGATCTGCTTCTGGGCCTCCTGTGTATCGGCCTTGGCCTGGCCCACCTTTCGCTTGGCATCATCCACGAGATTGTCGTCCTTGGTGGAGCTCTCCTCCAGCTTGAAGATGTCCATTTCGGTCAGCTTAACGCGATGGTTCAACTGATCGGCCTCGTCGCGCAAATACCTGGCAGCCACCTTCGTCTCGTTGGCCTTGCGGCGTATCAGCTCTGCATCCTGTCGGTGCAACGGGAAATGGGGAACGGGCAAAAGCAAAACTTAGTTGGAACTTCGGTGGGAGAGATCACTGATCGAGGCCTACCTTTGAGGCCTGCTCGGCATATTTATTCTGCGCCTCCTGTGCATTCTTCTTGGCCTCGTTGGCATTCTTATTGGCGCCGTCCAGCGCCTCGCCCGCCTGTCCGATCAGACTCTCGGCATTCTGTATCTCCTGTTCGATGTCTGGCACTGTCTGCAGCGCCTGGGCAGCGCTCTCGGACGATCGCTGGACATCCGACTGGAAACCGGCCAGCGTATTGTAGGTGTTGTTCGCCTCCTTCAGTGTGTTGTCGCCCTGCTCCACGGCCTTTGTGGCCTTGTCGTGGGCAGCCTTGGCGCGTGCCAGCAGCTCAATGTCGTCCTCCTTTTGCTTGTCAGCTCTGTAGGTTGGACAGGGATTAGTTGGATTATTAAGACTATGAGGGGTTACAAAAAGTAAACCTACCGCTCCAGCAGAACCTCCGCCAAGGTGCGTTCCTCATCAAAGTCGGCAAAGACCTCGCCGTTGCTGTTCGACAGCTCGTTGATCTGCTTGAGGAGCATATCGGCGCGTTCGTTGGCTGCCACTGCGTCCCGTTTCAGCTGGTTGATGTCAATGTCCGGCTGTGTCTGCCTGTTCACATCGTTGAGGAGGGTGAGGGCCGTGTCGTAGACCTCGTTGGCCTTGCGCAGCGCCTCCTTGGAGGTCTGAGCGACGGCGCCCAGCGACTGCTTCACCTGATCCAGTTCGAGGCGCACTTCGGAGCGCAGCTCCACACTGATCTTTTGCTGCAGATCGATGGCATTCTTGGCCAGAAGGTGCGCCTTCTCGACGGCATCCATCGCGTCCTTGGCGTTCTTCAGATCGAACTGCGCCTCCGACTCCAGCTTGTCGGCCAGAGCACGCGCCTCGCGCGATATATCCGATATCTGCTGCGATTGCTGGCCAAACTCCACGGACTTGTCCTTGGCCTTGGCCAGTGCCTGGGCGCCCTCATCGTTGAGCAGATCCAGCGCCTGCTGCAGCTCCCGCTTCGCATTCTCAGTGATATCGTCCAGTATGGTGTAGTTTTTGCGTGCCTTGTCTATCTCCACATTGGCATCCTCCTGCAGCTTGTCCGCACTCTGCAGATGCTCCCGCACGCTGTCCAGCCGCTTGTGCAGATCGTCGATGACCTCCGCATAGGTCTGGCCGCCCTCGCCGACATTGTCGCGTGCGTCGTGCGACAGCAGGGCCACCTTCTCCTGCACGGCGCGCAGCTTCGCCTCGAACTCCTCGTCATTGGTCACCGGGGTGCGTGCAATCTCGTCCAGAGTGGCGCTGAGATTCGCCAGCTTGGCGCGATGCAGATTGGCGGCGTCCTGCACCAGGTTGTAGCAGTCCGGACAGTCGATGCAGCCCCGATGGCGATCGTACTTGTTCTCCTTGCACCGGTCGCAGCGGCGTCCCTCCACGTTGTCATTGCACGGACACTGTCCGCTCTGGTCGCACTGGAAGCCCTTGGAGCCGCTCTCGTCGCACTCGCACGGCTTGCAGCCGTCCGCGGAGAAGCCGTAGAAGTAGTTGGCGCACTGGTCGCACCTCAGACCCACCACGCCCGGCTTGCAGTGGCACTGGCCCGAGTACCGGTCGCAGGTGGCGTTGAAGCTGCCCACCGGATCGCACAGGCAGTTCTCGCACCCATTCCCGGATCGTATGTTGAAGTAGCCCGGCTGGCACTCGCCACAGTCGCGTCCGATGACATTGGGCTTGCACTGGCACTGGCCGGTGACCTGGTCGCAGCGGGAAATGCTCTGCTCGTCCTGCTCCGTGCCGGCCTCGTAGCAGCTGCAGCGGTCACACTTGCCGTGGGGCAGGGACAGCGGATCGCCAAAGTGCCCGGGCAGGCACTGGTCGCAGTGCGCCCCGGCCGTGCTGTGGATGCACTTGAGGCACTCGCCCGTGGTGCGGTTGCAGTTGCCCACCGCATTGGGGTCCACGTTGCCGTTGCAGTCGCAGCCCGTGCACGTTTGCACGGCGCCCAGCAGGCCGGTTGGGTCGCCGAAGAAGCCATCGCTGCACTGCTCGCAGCGGGAGCCAAAGTAGCCGACGGGACACTCCGTGCAGATGACGGTGTCGCCGTTGATCTGCAGACAGGCGCCATCGTTGGGGCAGGGGCAGCGCTTGCAGTCGTTGGGGGTGCCGCCCAGGGCGATGCCGTAGTAGCCCTTGGCGCACTGGTCACAGTTGTCGCCGTAGGTGTTGTGCTGGCAGATGCAGCGGCCCGTCTCCGAGTCGCAGATGTCCGCGTGCCCGTGGCAGTCGCAGGGGATGCACGGCATGAAGGGTCCGCCGCGGGCCGGACTGTGCCGGTAGCCGGGGGCGCACGACTCGCAGAACTGTCCGAGATAGCCCTCGGGGCAGGTGCACTGCTCGATCCAGGTGGCCGGCTGTCCGGCTGCGCCGCGATGCGCCGTATGCAGCTCCACATCGTCGAGTATGGCCTCGCCCTGCACCGAGTAGGTGGCCCGGATCTTGATGGCCGTCAGATTGGAGAGGATGGAGAGGAAGCCGCGGGCCGACTGACTCGGCTGCCACTGGTAGTCGTGGTGCTCGTGCAGCCGGAACGTGTACTCCTTCACACTTTGGTCGGGTATGCCGTTGCTCTGGGCGAAAATGGGCAGCGAGATCCTGCTGCCGGCACCCTCCAGGATCACATCGTTGGCGCTGGTGCTCGGCCCCACCTGGCCCACCAGCTGCAGCTTGAACTTGAGGTCGCGGTTGTAGGAGGCGCGCTGATCCCCCAGAAAGCGATCGGGCGCCTGGAAGTAGACAAACTCATTGCCCTGGGCGGTGGTGCCGATGCTGCGGCTGTACTGATTGTACTTGATGTCCACCTCGCGTCGATTGAGATCGATGGCCGTCCAGCGCTCCTTGAACTTGTTGAAGTTGGAGGCGACGGAGACGATCGAGTAGCCCGGTGCCGTCTGGCACTCGGACGTGTGGCCGTAGCAGAAGCAGGGCGTGCAGCCAAACCGATTGATCTTGTCCAGATTGAAGAAGCCAGGCTTGCATCTAGTAGGAGGAGCAGAAGGAGGTGGAACATTAGACAAAAAGAATTTAATTTTATTTTATTTTTTTTGTTTATCTTACTCATTGCAACGCCTGCCCTCCACATTCTCCTTGCAGAAACAGATGCCACTCTCCGCATCGCAGGCTGGTGTGTTCTCATGGGAGCCGCGACCATCGCAGCCACAGGGCTGGCAGCCGTGGGGTCCGAACTGGTAGTAGTTGTTGTCGCAGCGATCGCACTTGTCGCCCGTGACGCCCGGCTTGCACTGGCACTTGCCCTGGCTGTTGCACTGCAGCGAACGGGAGCCGACCGAGTCGCAGCCACAGTTCACACAGTAGCCATCCTCGCGCATGTAGAAGTTCTCCTTGCAGCGCTCACAGTTGGCTCCATCCCGATTCTCGCGACAGTCCAGACAGTGGCCGCCATGGCCCGTCTGATTGAAGAGATGAGCATCGAAGAAGCACTTGTCCGCCAGTCCGTTGCAGTTGCAGGCTGTGGAAACGGGAAGCAAACATCAGAAGGGACGCTCTTTCGATTGTCTCCCGCCACTCCCACTGCCTACAGTTGATCAGATACCAATCGGCTGGCCCTGTCCCAATCAGATTCGTCTGCAGGCTAAAGTCACGGGACCAGGCCAGGGCTTCGCCAGAGTGGACCAGCAAGTGGAGGAGAAC